TAGTCACTCTTGGTTCATTTCATTTGATCAAAAATTCAAATCTGAGATTCCTACTTGGTTTCTGAGATGGTGGACTCACTATGGAGCCATTTCAGATATCCTCCCCATTGATCTCAGTGATATAATTAACTATTTTGCCACTGTTTACCCATTCACCACTCACCAACAACAACTTCCATTATTGCTAATTTTTATTTCCAAATACAAAATTCTATGGATATTCAAATGGCATTATGGGATTGATGATAACATCATCATTCGCCAACACACAGTCAAATGGTGGGTTAAGTTCAATGTGCCCAGAATTCTTGACCGTTTTTTTTCAGGATTGTTGGATTGAGATTGGTGTGACCGATTATCAAATATCAAATTATCAAAATTAGTAGGATCAGAATCATGTTCAGATTCATTTGGAAATTCTTGATTATTTTGGAAATTATCTAGACTTTTATTAAGTTTTAAAGTAATAATTTCGTCTTCTAATTTTTTATCTTTATGTTGTAATTCTTTGATTGTGTGTTTAATCTGATTGATTTCTTGTTGTAGATATTGTAATGTAACTTCTTTTTGTTTATTTTTAAATCTTTCTAAAGTTTTGGATAAACTAATTATAGGTTTATCAAACTTAAGTTTATTATCTGAATGAATTAATAAGGATTTTAATTTATCAATATATTTTTGTTTTAAATGGGGATCATCTAATTTACTAATTAATTTAATAAGAGCAGATTCTTCTTGAGTATTTTTTGTAAGAACAGTAATTTGTTTAACTGGTTTACAACAAACATCATTACATCCTATATTATTGTTATCAGAATCATCACTAGGTGATTGGTAATCAGACGAAGTATTGGAATGATCGGAGGAAGAGGAACTACTAATAGATTGATTTAATTGAAAGATTTCATATAATTGATTTTTGGAGTTACCATCAATTTGGAGTTGATTAACTTTATCTTTTAATTTTTGTTTTTCTTTACATTTATTTGAATAATGACCTTTTTGACCACAGTTATAACAAGTAATATCTTTGGTAGATTTAGATTTCGGATGCAATTTGGATTTATAATATTTGTTTTTAGGTTTAGTGTAGAATTTATCATTTGATTTTGAAGGTGAATAATTCTTTTTATATTTATTAGAATATTTGTATGATGTTTTGTGTTTATGTTTGGAGTATTTGTGTGATTTCCTACGAGAGGGTGCAACAGGAGGTAAGCCATATTGTTCACAGAAATTGCCTAATTCATATTTAGCTTTATGTTTATCTTTGTTAGCTTTTTGAGTAAGTTTAAGATCAATACACATTTTTAAACCTTCTTTTTTAATAGTGCTAATTATATCACCATATGTTAAATTATCATATTCAATAACACCAGTGAGTTGACTAAGAACATCTCTAATTTTGTGAGCAAATAAGCTAGGTAATCCATTAATAAATTTTTCTTTTCAAAATGATTTAGTACAGTCTTCTCTTAACATAACTCGAGAGGTAAATACATCTTTATACCATCTAAAATCACTTAAGGTTGGACAGGTAAGATTACTAAGTTGATCATGTATACGAGAATATATATTTGTAGGGGTACCAATAAAATGTCGGACTGTTGTATAGATTAATTGATTGATTCCATCAGGGTGACAACATCCAATAGTTTCATCAAAAATAGATAGACCATTTTCATCAGTTTGATTAGCATATATGATTGAGTCACGTTGTTCTTCAGTAAGGTATTTTTCCCACCAAGATTTGAGCATACTAGTGAAACCAGAGGTAATTAAAGAAACAATTTCTGGTTGGGAATATTGGGGATAATTACTTAGATAACTATTTGCAACCATAGATAAATTATTTAATTTTTGAAGGATCTGATCTTCACTAAGACCATCAATATTCCATTCGTATAATCGTTTAGCAGATACAGAAAATTGATTATTAAGATTAGTTTCTTCAAATTGGAGATCAGGTGGAGTAGGTCGAGAATACCAGTTTTTGGTAGTTTGGGGATTAACTTTGGGATAATGAATTTTATTAAGATTAGAGGATTGAAATTGTTGGGCTAATTGATTTATTTCATCATCAGTAGTTTCGGTTTCAGTTTGATCCAAAACAGTGTTGGTAATAGGTTGTTGATTTAGAACAGTAAGACCTTTATCTTTGGATGTAGAGGTATCATTGGGAGTTAGTTTAGTAAATAAGTGTTCAATAGCTTTGACAGTAGATTGATCATTAGTAACTAGGCTAGTTCGTTTGGAACGATGAGTAGGGAGATTAAGTAAAGGTTGATCTAAGGGTTTAGTAGATTTTGCAGATTGTTCATCTAAATTAATTTCTAGTTTATCTAATTGTTTACCAATGGTTTTTAAACATTGATTAGTATAATTATTTTGTTCAATAACCTTTTTAATTTCAGGATCAGTGCCAGGCAATTTGAAAGGAGAGGCTGGGACTTCAGAACCTTGATGATCAATAATGATATTTTCTAATGGAGGATGATTAGAACTAACAGAAGTATTAGGAGAAGTTTTCCATTTATGTTTTGTGATGGTGTTGATCTTTTTGGATTTACCTGATCAATGGATTTACTATGATTCAGAGTAAAACTTTACTCTGAATCAGAGTAAAGTTTACTATGATTTAAAGTAAAATTTTATATTTTTAAGCAAATCAACATTTTTTAAGCATAGTAAAATTTTACTCTGATTCAGAGTAAACTCTACTCTGATTAGTAAAATTTCTGTGTGAAATTCTTATTAGAGAGATTCTTATCAGAGAGAGAGAGAAAGAGAGAGAAATTGAATAGATCATTCATTTTAATAGATCCATCATCCATTGAACAAGCTGAGTATGAACAGATCAATTCAAAAACTAGTAAAAACACAAATTTATATTACAAGGATGTATAATCACAAAACACACAGATCAAAAACTAAACAAAAACATCCAAATATCAGCATAATCATAATCTGATTGAGGTGGCCATTTCAGATAACACATTCAAATATCTCTCTATCTTTTGATTTCAAAAAATACATATGTTCAACAACACTTATACACACAAATATATATATATATATATATATATTCAAAACTTAGATCTGTGTTTAAAAAAAAATATCGCGTAATATACATACATACACTCACTTACCGATATATATACATATACACATGTATGTATGAGTCATATATAAATACATACATGCACACACATATATATAAATACATACATACACATATACTTAGGAAGAGCAAATCAGTGGAGACGTGGCGGAGTTTGGCGTGTTCGCCGGAGGGAGCGGCGGAAGAGGATCGGATGCCGGTAGCGTTGACGAGGTTGACGCACGAGTTCTAGAGGCGGTAGCTGAGCTTTCAGATCTGAAACTTAAAGGAGTTAGAGAAGGGAGAGAGGGAGGAGAGAGACAAAGAATGTAGGGAGAGAGTGGGTGGAAAAGATAGAAAAAATTAGTTGAGGGTATAATAGTCTAATAAAATATTTAAATAATAAATTTTATCCTTTATGCAAGACTTTATAATTATGAGGGGTTTAGAAAGTATAAGGCTCCGTTTGGTAGAGTTTTCAAAATCTAGTTCCACACTTACTTTTGAGTGTGGTGTTTGTTTAGGGTTTTCAAATCATAATTCTACACTCATTTCTCAAAACTCAATTCAAAACATAATCATTACTTTTCAAAACTCATAACCAAACACATAATTCAAAACTCTTTTCAAAACTCCATTCAAATCAATATTTTAAAAATATTTTAATTTTGTTAAGATTTTAAATATTTTAATATTTAAATATGTTACGATTTTTTTAATTTTTTAATTTTTTTAATTTTTTGAATATTTTTAAATATTACGATTTTAATTTTTTAAATTTTAAAATATTTTATAAAAATAAATTCAAACTCTATTTTATAAAAATATTTTTAAATATTTTAATTTTTTTGTTATGTATTTGGTTACGATTTGAGTGTAGAGTTGTGAAAGTAGTATGGAGTTTCGAGTTATGTGTTTGGTTATGAGTTTTAAAAATAATTTTTTAATTGAGTTTTGTTTTATGTGTTTGGTTACGATTTGAGTGTAGAGTTATTTTTAAATTTAAAATATTAACATTTAAAATTATTTAAATTTTTTACTTATTAAATTTTTTAGATTATTTGAATTATTTAAATATTTATGATTTAAATTTTTTGAATATTTATTTTGAAAAAAACTTATTTCCTTTGTAGTATTTTCAATTAAAAATTTGATTAATGTTATTTTCTATCAATAATAAATTTTTTTTAATTGAATTTTAAAAAGAGTTTGGTTATGAGTGTTGATCAGAATTTTCAATAGTGTGAAAGTAGTGTGTTTTGTTATAAGTTATAACAATTTGAATTAAGTTTTGAAAATTCTTTCCAAAACTCATAACCAAACAAATTTTCTTACTTCACATGTCAAATCAAACTTTCAAAACTCAATTTCACACTCAATTGTGAGAGAAGAATGTAATGATTATGGGTTGGGTGTGATGTTTTATTTGTTATGACAAAAATAACCTATTTTGTTTTTTATGACTAAAATAACCAAAAAACCCCAAACCATGGCTTCGCAAACGAAGCCTAAATAGGCCAATTAAAGGCCATCAACAACAATTAAATGCTTACATATTTGTCTTACGTCTACAGTATATCTTGTTTGAATAATATTATATGTATTGATTAATATACTAATTATTATATTAATTGATGATGTAGCATAATTTAAGAAATTTTTAATATTTATAATTTATATAATGAGTGGGATCAATAATAATATCATAACTAATATTAATACATTAATTGATATATGTAATACTATCGATTAAACAATTTGACTTATCAAAATGAAATTCGTAATTGATTCCATAACCCTAACCAGACGCTCCAACGAATCCACGGTAGGGAAGTCTCTCCCTAAAATTCGTAATACAGGTATTGCTTCGCTACGTTACGGTTAGGAATTTCTCAAATCAATGTCAACGATAACCACCACCAATCAGATCTTCGCCTCTTCCAGGCGGAGGAAACCCTATTCCGCCTCCGCAACCGCCGCCGAATCGCCGGAAAATCCCACACTCGCCGCCTCAAAAAGTCCCTCACGCCGAGTATTATTCACCGAACAAGACGAAATCCACCTCCTCAAAGCCCTAAAACGAGCCAACAAACTCTCCTCCTCCGCCGTCGCCTCTCCTCCGCCACCGCTCTCCGGCGTCATCGGCGGCGATTTCAGCGACGTCCAAATAACGGACAAGCTCCGGAGGCTCCGGCAACGGTACCACAAGCTGGCGAGGACTAAGTCCCTGATGAAGACCCCTCGGGATCGCAAGATTTACGAGATGGGACGCAAGATCTGGGGAAAGAAGTTGAAAAATTCGAGGAGAGAGTCGAAGAGCGTTGAAGATGGTGGGTTTGAGGGGGAAGTGGATTTGAGTGATTTTCCGGCTCTGTTGAGGGAAGTTTCTGGGATTTTCCCGGAAAATAGGGTGTACAGAGAGGGGTTGGAGCGTTTGGGGAGAGAGAAACTGATGAGTTTGAATGAGAAATGGATGGTGCAGAGGATGGAAGAGGCTGGGCTTCTGGCAAAGAAGGCTGAATTGTTCTATGAACAAACCAAACTGGAATTACAATCATCTGTTGTATCAATGTAGACCAGTCACAAGTATGTTCTCATTTCACATTTTAATCTTCACATCACAACAACAAGATCGAGATGATCTTCTGTGTGGAAAATGATCTTTTCTTTGGAGGGAAAAAGGAGAGAGCTGACTTCTTGTTTTCAATATTTGAATTTCACAGTGAATGTTGTTTTTAATATTAGATCTAATTTTACTTTAATCACCTAAATTATTGCCAATTTTTCTTTTCTATTTCATTATTAAATTTTCTCCATTTAGTTTTTAAAGTTTTTAATTTCAATTCATATCATCTAATTTGATACAATTTGTCTAAATCAACAATTGCCCAAATTGAATAGTTTATATCAGACCATGGTTGTTAAAATCGCGATCCGGATCGTAGAATCGTACGGTCCTACGATCTTACTTTGCCAAAACGATCCAGATCGTTGTAGGATCGATGTTATAACAGGATCGCAAGTAGGATCGTGTAGGATTGCATGAGATCGTGTAGGATCGTATGGGATCGTATAGGACCATAGGTAGGATCGCAAGTAAGTTTGTAGATTTTATGATTTTTCACCTTATTTTTAATATGTATCATTTTAATTTTAATTTTTATCCTTTTTTTTAATAGAAAGTAGGATCTTACGATCCTTGATCCGATCTTACGATCCGATCCACCAGACCCTCTCACCGATTCTACTTAGAATTCTGATTTTAACAATCTTGGATCAGACAACTTATACCCTATAACTAATCACATTTATTGTGAATAAAAAAATATGTATTTAATTGTGTTGTTTAAGTGATGTGAATAGTTGTCTCAAATTAGACCATATTAATTGAAATTAGAAACTAAAAAATAATAATAATGATAGTTTAAGAGATAGAAATAAAACTAATAACCCTTAAAATATTCTCCAAACTCAAGCATTTTCAAATTTATTTCTCAAAGTCAAATTGTTTATTATGTCGTATTAACTAATTTATTGTCAAAAAATTTGAAATCCTGTTTTCAAAATATGGCATCACAAAAGCAAACTGATTTGGGAAGTAAATTGAAAACTATTTTGGATTTGAGAATTTTGATTTTAAGCATGTATTTAGATTTTTTTTTTTTTTCAATATCAATTGAAAAGATGGATCACATTCATCGATATGAGAATTTAGAGAGAGCGAGAAAGAAATTAAGGAGAGCTCATCTTCAATCAAATGCCTCAACTTTGTGTTTTGTGAAAGAGAATATAGGGATCGAAAAGTTCAATCTCTATGTTATGGTTACTCTGTAAATTTAGAAATGGAACAAATTCAGTTGCAGAATTCAAGGCAACTAGAGAATTATAACGATTCTCATTTTGACTTGTTGTATTCTGGACTCAAATTTGTATGGCTTTGGATGATGATTCATATGTTGTTTTCTTTGTCTCTCCTCTGTTTTAGTTATTGGATTTTAGTTGTACGTTTGGAATAAGTTGGTTGCTTGTTTTTCTAAACCTTTGTTGTCTAGATTTTTGCTCCTTCGCTCGAGCGGCTATTTTTGGGCTCGAGTGGGCTTTGCAATCATTGTTCCTCCGCTCGAGCAGCACTTCTCGCGCTAGAGTGGACTTTGCGAACTCTCAGTACTTTGCAGGTCTGCAAAACTACTAGTAGAGTGTTTTCTACGCTCGAACGGCATTTTCTACACTCGAGCGGCCTTTCCTGCGTTCGAGTGTTGCTTTGTTGTCTACAAAACTGCTGGATGTGTATTTTTTACACTCAAGCGGTGAGCATTCGTTGTATCTTGGCGCTCGAGCGACCTTTATTGCGCTTGAGCGGAACTACTTTTTTGTATCTAATGCTCGAGCGTCAACTCTTCTGCTCGAGCGGATTGTGTGTATATCAAGTCGCGGAAATGACATTTTATATCACTTTTTCATTCTTCTCTCTTTCTAGAACTTTCCAAAAGCTTAGATCTTGACTCTCTCTCTCTCTCTAAAACATTATCTCTCTTTCTACATTTTGACCTAGATCCTTTAGGTTCTCTACCCTAGTGTCTTTGAGAAAAAATTAGAGCATTCCAAGAACTTCATTTTGATCCGATTGGAACGTGGTCTCGGCGTTGTTGAGGATTCTACTTTGTTTTGCTTGGTCTTTTCTTCTTAACGTGGGGATTTTTTACACTTTAATATGGTTTTTAACTTAGTTATTTGTCGTTGTGTAACAATGGTAGGATTTGAGATTAATGTAAACAAACTTAGGGTTTGGGTGTAAAATGGAAATAGGGGTTTTTGTTGAATGAGAAAAAAATGATTATGGGGTTTGAAAATGATATTGTATGATGTCAAAATTGTTGATTTTGGAGCTTGGTTGAAACTTGGGAAAAGATGGGATTTGCCCTAAAATGATTGTGATATTTATTTTGTATAAATAAATGAAATGAGTGTTGTAAACATGAAATTTGGCGAGTATTGAAATATATGGTAGAATTGAGTAGATGATACGTCTCATCTTTAGAAATTTTGAATAATTTATCTGTCTTGAGATTGAATATCTGTTTAGAAATAACTGTTTTTGGCTATTGGTGGAAGATAATTTTGATTGTTGTAAAATTATATGAGAATTAGGTGAATTAAAACTAATCCATGGTTGGTTATCATTGAATATGATCATGTTTTAAATACATTGTATATATATGATTGTTTGGAAAAAGAAAGATGATGTACTCCATGTATGATTATGTATTTAAATACATTGTATATGTATGATTATTTGGGAGGAGAAGGGTAATGTACTCCATTGTTTGAGAGGAGAAAGAGGATAAACTCCATTATAATTAAATTGGTCGGAGTATCTTGGGTGAAAGTCTCGAAATTTATACATGGGTGCCGATTCTGCGGACGAAATTTTCGTAAAATGACAGATTGAAGTGTTTGTGTGTTAATGATGTGATTGTAGAACCATTGAGTTGTAGTCTTATGTGGGTTATTGAGAAATAATGAAATTGGCTCATGTATTGAAATGAATTGAATGAAAATGGATTAAGATTTGGATTTGGTACCTTGTGATTATATAAAATGTGAATGTTTTGTCACAGGCATTGTTTATGCATATTGTAATTATACCATTGTTAAATCTCATAAATTGTGTCAGATTATTCCTACTGGGCTGTGGTTCACCCTATTTGAGAACATGTTCAGGTAATGATGGCATGCATCCACTAAGATAATAGCATTTGAGGGATTTTTGGAAAGCAAGAGCTTCTTTTTCTTGTTTCACTTTTTGTATAGACTTAATTTGTATGAGCTAGTCTCACTTTTGTTATAACTAAGCCAAGACTTGGAAATGTGTAAGCCTATAGGGTATTTGTTTATGCTAAACTCTTTTGTACTATTAACATTATGAAATGAAAGGACTTTACATTTTAATTCATGCAGTTATTCATATATATTTGGGTTGAACTCATGGTTATATTTTGAGGGCGTTACAACTTGGTATCAAAGAGTGCCGAGTTTAAATATTTTGGATATGTGGGAAGTGATTAATACTACAATGGGTTTGTCTCGCTTAGTTAAAACGTTGATATGTATTGTATGCTTATGTGATAACATGCTTATATGATTATATGGGTATGAGATTTAATTCTTAAGATATTGATTGGATCTACGGGTTTCTGAAAGTCTTATTAGAAGAGCATTTGATCACTGTTGTTTTTAATTGGAACTCTAACAACGCCGCGGGACGGTCATTATTTAGAAAGGAAATTCGTATGTGTTTATGTGATTACGTGCTTATATGGAGTGATTTACTGTTGTCCATTACACTAGGACACGAGTAAGTTAGCTTCAACACATTTGTGAATGTGCTAATCTTTTGTTACCTTTATTAGGATGTCAGGACGTGGTCGTGGTGGTAGGCATGGTAAGCACGAGATGCCTATACCGAATGAAATTCCGACACAGGAAAAAGGGATTGGTCAGGCCAATGTGTCCGAGCCAGTAGGTTAACAGGCCATGGGCGCCTTAGCTCGTGAAATGGCCAGAGCTTTGTAGGAATCCATGGACATTCTCAAAGCTGAGAATCAAGTCCAAGCCCAGGTTGCTGAGGCAAGGCCATCTTTTCTAAAGAGGGAGTTTTTCCGATCGAAATCAGATGAGTTTTTATGCGATCCCAAGGAACCACTGAAAACGGATGAGTGGTTAGAACAGATGGTGAAGACTTTTAAGATGCTCGGTATCAAAGATGGGGGTTTAAAAGTGACCTTGGCATTGTTCCAGTTGAAGGGAGACGTGAGTCAACGGTGGAAGTATGCGCGGGGACGCATTGGAGGGACTTGGGAGGCTTTTGTCGACGCTTTTCAGGACAAGTTTTTGCCTCCCACTGTTAGGGAGAAGTTGAGGGACCAGTTTTCTTAACTGGTGCAGTTGAATACACCAGTGACTGAGTTTGAAGCCACATTCACTAGCCTCTTTAGGTTTGCACCTAAGTTAGTGGCGACTGAGGAACACCGCTGTTTGGAGTTTGAGAAGAGGTTGAGGACCGGGCTCATGTTTAAAGTGGTTGGATCCATGATTAGAGACTATGGGCACCTTGTGAAGGCAACGGCCTATCTTGAGACCATTATGCAAGCAGAGAATGAGAGGATGAGGGGCTCTAGGATTGGTCAGGCCAACGTGGCCGAGCCAGTAGGTTAACAGGCCATGGGCGCCTTAGCCCGTGAAATGGCCAGAGCTTTGCAGGAATCCATGGGCATTCTCAAAGCTGAGAATCAAGTCCAAGCCCAGATTGCTGAGGCAAGGCCATCTTTTCTAAAGAGGGAGTTTTTCCGATCGAAATCAGATGAGTTTTTATGCGATCCCAAGGAATCACTGAAAATGGATGAGTGGTTAGAACAGATGGTGAAGACTTTTGAGATGCTCGGTATTGAGGATGGGGGTTTAAGAGTGACCTTGGCATCGTTCCAGTTAAAAGGAGACGCGAGTTAACGGTGGAAGTATGCACGGGGACGCATTGGAGGGACTTGGGAGGCTTTTGTCGACGCTTTTCAGGACAAG